GACAATCTGCCCAACAAACTTCTTCCAGGCAACCATCACCTTCCAGACAATCTGTCCAGCAAACTTATTCTAGACAATCATCGTCTTCTCAACCTACCTCACGTTATGTATCACAATCGTTATCACCGCAGCCACAGCCGCAGCAAATATGTGGAAGATCAGCATCATCTGATCGTCGATCTTTCAATCAAAATCAGTCACATAATCATGACAATAATCAAGATGGTATAAAAAGTTTTTTTTTTTTTTTGATTTTTGAATGCCGATCTTCTGATCTAATTTTTTTTTTTTTTGAAACATTTTTTTTTTTTGTTACTTTTGATACCTGTTACCTTATTTGAGCTCGTTCAAGTCGCTGTCACCGTAAAGCTGAGGACCGAGAACGTCTCTTCGCTCAGAACCGTCAAATATACCTCCTGATCAGACAGTTAAGCGACAATTTTCAAGATCTTAGGAATGAAATGCGGCAAAGAAACGTTCAAAGCACTCAAGGCATTCAAGGCGAGGATCTTTTGGCCAAAGTGTGGGACATAAGTATTGTAGAAAGCAAGAGTAATTTAGGGCATATTTTGAGTGCTTTTTTTTTGGCATATTTTGATTTTTTTTTTACATTTTCACAGGAAGTATATATTAGCGTTGTCAAACACCTTTTCCCGTATGTAATATATCCCACCCAAGATGAAATAAAAGAGTCCCTCAAGGACTACTTGAATGAAAAGTTCCCTGAATTTGTGGCGAACTTAAGTGCTAACAATTTTGCAAACCGGTTCTATGGTGCATAGTGTTCTCAGATAAGCAATAATATTTGACACCTGTATATATCGTTTTATATCATTATCAATCGTTTTCAATAGGTCTAAGCATTTTTTATGATGCTCAATCTCCAATAGCTCTTACAAAAAATGAAGAACCTGTGTGGTTCAGTGTTGCAGAACATACGTTCAGCAATTTGGAGTGTATTTGGCCACGAAAGGCTTCCTTGCCTCAGAAGCAATGCTAGTGCTACGGATATAGTAAGGTGAAAGCAAAGCCAAAAAGTGTACAATTGCTATTGTGCACTCTATGAGCAAGATGATAAAGGCATTTTCTGGGTTGCAGTTATTGCAAGAACTGCATTCACCACAGCTGCTGCCCCTACTCTTACAAACTATCATTGTGCCTTCACACTAGCTGTGTGTGATATTATATTAAATCCCTAATCGAAAAATCTCGTCTGTAGCGAAAGTCGAATTAAGCATCGCATGGTGCGCTATTTGGTAAGTATTTGTAACATA